CACATTCAACGCACACTATATACATCTCACACAAACTGCCGTTTTTTTATCTCTCTCTCTATCTTCACCTTCTTGCTTTCGTCTGTCGCTGTAATTCTGTAGTAGGTGTGTGTGTGTCTATCGTGGATTGCCGGTTCGGTTTTTCATCTTTGTTTTGCGGAATGTTTGTGTTGGCTTTTGTTGCACTCTGAAGCAATTCTAATCACTCGCTCGACGGCAATTCTCAACCCCCTTCCTTTCGGCTCAAGTTTTCCGGCGCGTTTGCTTAAGGCTGACGGAGTCTGTGTGGCTGCATCGCACAATTTTAGGTACGATATGCGTTCTCTTGTGAAGTTTCTGTTCTTATGTGATTTGCGCTGATTCTGGTTGTGTTTTATCCCTGGTATTGCGATTGTTCTTCTAGGCGGATGAAGTAGTGGTTGTTTGATGTTAGGGGTGAAGTACAGCTCGCTTGACGTGTTTGGTTGGTGTGGACCTTGTTTTGGCTTGTTTGATCCACGAGAATTTTTTCACCTTACTGGAAAAATTACATGAATCACCATTTTATTTTTACTTGAAAATTAATTCTTAGCTGTAGATGTTTCTTTGTAGCCTACATGTGAGAAGGTTTTTGCCATTTTTTTATTTTAATTTAGTTTATTGCAAAATTAGCCCGGGTGTGGATTTGTATAGGTGTTTTAATAATTAATGGAAATGAAGCTGCGTTAAATTAATGTTTATTGCTATGGTAGGATGGATTGTTTGCCCCACTTCGATTATTATTCCTCGTGTAAAAAATTGGGTATTCTAATGTCTTTGGTTATATCACTCTTGACTGGTTGTGTGCATTGTGTAGAAAATACTTGAACTTTCAGTTTTAGTGGTACAGAAATTGTGCCTAGTATGTGCAACTATTGCTTTAATTATACTCTTTCTAGCAGGAGGTTCAGTTAATATAGTAGAGCAACAAGATGGCAACCTTTGGGGATATAGGGCTTGCAGCTGGAGTCAATATTCTCAGTGCGTTGATCTTCCTTGTAGCATTTGCCATCCTAAGAATTCAACCGTTTAACGACAGAGTGTATTTCCCAAAATGGTACCTCAAGGGTTTAAGAAGCAGTCCCACGCAATCTGGTGCATTTGTTTCCAAATTTGTCAATCTGGACTGGAGGTCATATATTAGGTTTCTGAATTGGGTGCCAGATGCATTGAGAATGCCAGAGGCAGAGTTGATTGATCATGCAGGGCTAGATTCGGCCGTCTATTTGCGAATTTACTTGCTCGGGTAGGCCGAGACATCTTACATTTTCCAACTCTTTACTGTGTTCCTTTGGCATAGAATCAATAGAAGTACAAGATATAAATGAGAGCATGTTTTGAAATGCTATGTTGCATTTTATGAGTTCCAGACATAATCTTAATTACTTCTAATTCACCTTTTCTGTTATGCAGACTGAAGATTTTTGTTCCAGTGACATTGCTCGCATGGGCTATCCTTGTGCCTGTCAACTGGACAAACAACACTTTGGCTATATCACATGCAACAGACAAGCTAGAGTACAGTGATATTGACAAGCTTTCTATTTCAAACATTCCTCATGGATCAAAGAGGTTAAGAACTTTCTCTTCTTCATTGTTTTTAAAGTTTCTGCCTTAGCCTAATTGTGATAACTATGATTCCATTCATATAATCTCCATATATTGGGCGAAAGTGCAATTGACTCAACGCACAGTTGTTTTAAGTTTGTCGAATTTTTGAAGGGATCCCTGTTGTCAGTCATTAAAGGAGCTTTATATGAGTTTTAACCTCAGGTAGTTTATTGATATTGAGGGTTTGGTTAGCCTACTTTTTATAGGGCTTATTTTATGCCGATTCGGCCTTTCTCAATCATCCTGCATAATTTTGAGACGGCTGAAAGTTCTAATAACTTGGATGGTGTAGGAAACTGAATTGCTGGTAATGCAAATGTTAGTTTCAGGGGCAATAGTGTTTCTGGTGATAAATCAGTTTCTGTAGTGATGGATTCTGTATGGCATTCTGGGTATTCATTTGCAATTTGCTGAGCAGCATATAAATGTGATATTTGGTGGTGTAATATAAAATCGATGCCAGAACACATTTTGACGGATAAGCAAGTTGAGTAATGCGTTGTCTCTTTAAATACGTTGAGTGTTTAGCGGAAAGTTAGAGTAAAAGGCTTCAGATCCAGAGAAGCCAAATCCTTGAACACATATACTAAAATTTTCACTACTTTTTCATAGACTAGAGAAGTTTAATTATGAAACCTTTCTTACTGTACTATCCTCATTAATATACAGGCATTGTTGTTCTTGAGATGCAGTTACTTGAAACGAGATTGATCTTTCATATATTTTGACAGGTTTTGGGCTCATATTGTAATGGCCTATGCCTTCACTATTTGGACTTGTTATACCTTGATGAAGGAGTATGAGGCAGTTGCTACAATGCGCTTACACTTTCTTGCTTCAGAAAGACGTCGGCCTGATCAATTTACTGTAAGATGCATATTATTATTATGCTTCTTTCTCCCTGTGTTGTGAAAGTTTTTAAGGATATGGAGGTTATTTATGATGAAGAAATTATATGACTTTGTAAAGCATTACATCTTTTCTGTTCCCTGTGAAATGGGCATTATTTGATATTGATATATGGAATGCATTGTATTTTTGGGATGCCCGTATTCTATAACAACGAAACAATATTTGTTTGCGAGACAGAGTACTGGAAGTCTGAGATACTTCCAAATACATGTATCCCCCCTTATATATCCATATTGATCAGCATTCTGCACTTTTTTTCGGGCCTATTATGTTATCTTTTTATCTTTTAGATCTTCTTTTGTTGAAGCGTTCTTTTTTTAGAGTTTAGCTGAGCATGCATGTTGTGAGTTGCTGAAACTTTACTGAATTTTCCTTTCTGCTGATGGTAAATCACTAGTATTATTTGGACCTTCTATTTATTTTCATTTTTCATTGTTTTTGAAGCCATATGTTTGAGGGAAAGTTGTTTAATTACTTTGAGTCAGCTCATCACCTTTGCAGAACACATCTAGCAAAATGATTTCATGTTATATTTGAGTTATATGCCTAAATAGATGGAATTATATATGTGGTATCCTATGGAATGTATTTCTGCTCAGCCGTTTTTCATGCTTTTTAACTTTCATGCTGTTTGAGGGTTTACATGGGTAGAGGTCTTGCTTTAAGGATAGATATGGGAATTTTGCCAGTAACTTCATGGACAATGCTGTTTTATTTCCTAGATAGTTTATCTCTCGGTAAATTAGCTCAACTTTCTTGCTTTTCCCATCGTGTTTAGTGATGGTGCTGAAACTTTGGTCTTGCAGGTTCTCGTTAAAAATGTGCCACCTGATCCAGATGAATCAGTGAGTGAATCCGTGGAGCATTTTTTCTTGGTCAACCATCCAGATCATTATCTGACACATCAGGTTAAAGTCGCTCTTAGTTTGTCTGCTAATTGTCTGTTGTGGGTGAACAAATCTTTCTGGAATACTTAGCAGAACTGCTGGATTTTTTGGTGTGCTGAGTTTCTTAATTTTCGGCTGTGTACTTAATATGTATTGGATAATGAAGAATAAAAAAATATAATATTTGTCAAAGAAGTGAATTGACCTTATGTGATTAGCAATTGCAGTCTTGTGTCCTTCATATTCACTATCTGATATATATGATAATATCTGGTTTAACATCCACTAGGGGTTTATTTTTGGCTCAGAAACTAAATTACTCATTTGTTACCAATTAAATAGTATAATAAATGAACATGATTATCTTGTGTGGCTTCACTCGTCAGTAGTGTGATTTGGTGAGAGTGTTGCTGGTTCTGGTCTGTGTCATTAAGTGCATCTGTTCAGTTTGTCTATAAGTTTACGAATTCCTGGCGAAGGAAGCGTCTCTGCACATTTCATCATTGTGACTTAGGCTATTTATTCTCTACTGTGCATATCTCTAACTAAGCTATTGTATGCAGGTTGTGATCAATGCCAATAAACTTGCAAAACTTGTCAAGGAGAGAGAGAAGAAGGAAAACTGGCTTGACTATTACCAATTGAAATATACAAGAAATCCATCACAACGGCCTATGACAAAGGTACTGTTATGTGTGACAATTTTATTTAGTTGCTTGCATTTATATGTAAGAATTTATCCCGACTTGTTTATGATAGAACTGTAAGTTCATATATAATATGAATAATCAATTGAGAGTTTATATTGGCGCATTTTAATTGTTTGCACATTGCAGACTGGTTGTCTTGGCCTTTGTGGAGATAAAGTGGATGCGATTGAATATCAGACAGCTGAAATTGAGAGACTATCAAAAGAAGTGAGTACACATACTCAGAAGGCTTCTCATTATCCAATATTTCCTCCATGCATGCCCATTCACACATGAGAGTTGCACGTAATAATAATCAAGAATTCCTTGATCATTCTATTCTTGCGCTCCAACACTGCCAAATAATTTAGTTCCAGATCGTCTTTTGGTACTTCACACTATGTTTCCAATATGAAATGCTGGAAAGTCCTTATTGTTGGGTTGGGTACACTCGCAACACGTGAACACTAACGTAGTTACTTTATTAGATTAACAAAGTAATTACACAAACACAATATGGACCAAGATACAATACTTCACTTATCAAGACTAAAACACACTAACTATGACACTCACACACTATTTTACTTAGACTCTTAGATGCTTGGATTATTGGGATACATTGCAAATGAGGTGGTCTCCTCTATTTATAGCCACCACCTCCTCTAAAGGAATTGTCTAGAACATCTAATGTCTTGGGTATTCTAGATATTTCTACGAAACTCCTACACACATATCCCTACTACAATTCTCTACAATATTTGGGAAGCTCTAGAAGACTCCACATTACTCTCAAATGTTCCACATGCTTCTAGATCCTTCTACAATATTCCGGAACATTCCACATTTTTCCGGGTCATTCTAGATGCTTCCAGAACCTTCCACAATGTTCCACGACGTTCCACATTTTTCCAGAGTCCTTCCCAAAAGGAGGTGTTGATATTTTAACACTTATTCCTGAAAAACATTTTGGAATTTTGAAACTCCCTTCACAACTGAACTATTTAATCCTCTCACAGTTTCGGGTGAGTAACCTATATCCTTGTGTGTTATCTGAACAAGTATCATGTCTTTTATTTTACACATCCAGTAATGAGAGAAGTCTTTTTTTTTTTTCCAAAATATGTTTTTCAATACTTGCACAGTTCTTCTTACCCATGCTTACCAAAGTCAGCCCAGAGAAAAATATTGTCAACTTGATAGACCTTGATAAATACTATAGTTGATGAGCTTCTCTTCAGTGTCCTCATTTAAATGCAGTTTTTCCTGACATACACATACTACATACTTTTTTCAGGTGAACCAGGCAAATAATGTACTTGATTTCCAACAGATGTTTAATATATTGTGCTGCTTTACTTGTGTATTCTTTCATCATTGTCTAAGCATCACACTGATATGCAGATAGAGGAAGAACGGGAGAGGGTTAAAATTGATCCAAAGTGCATCATGCCAGCAGCTTTTGTCTCTTTCAGAACTCGGTGGGCTGCTGCTGTGTGTGCACAAACACAACAATCAAGGAATCCTACTGTGTGGTTAACAGAGTGGGCTTCAGAGCCACGGGATGTTTACTGGAACAATCTTGCGATTCCTTATGTTTCGCTGACTATTAGAAGGCTTATTATTGCAGTTGCTTTCTTCTTCCTCACGTTTTTTTTCATGATACCAATCACTGCTGTGCAATCCCTTGCAAACATCGAGGGCATTCAAAAGAGGTTACCATTTCTTAAGGCGATCACTGACGTGTAAGCATTGCTTCCAAGAGCTATGTGGGTTGTGTTACGGTTATCATTTTTCATGCTCTTTCTCTTTGATATTTTTGTTAGATGTTACGCCGTCATCATTTTTCTTAAAAAAATTATTATCTCATCGTAGTTTTCCGTTAACTATTAATATGATGATAATTTTGTGGCAGCCCTTTCATCAAGGCCTTCATCCAAGGGGTTCTACCAGGGATCGCTCTAAAGATCTTTCTTATTGTGTTGCCAACAATTTTGATGATGATGTCCAAATTTGAGGGTTTCCTGTCGATATCAGTCCTTGAGAGGAGATCTGCCATGAGATATTATATATTCAACTTTGTGAATGTTTTCCTTGTCAGCGTAATCGCAGGAACTGCATTGCAACAACTCAATAGTTTTCTTAATCAGTCACCACAGGAGTACGTAGTCAATCTGCCTTTATATATACATCTTACACGTCCTTTCTAGAGAAGATATTCATGACTCATGATCTAAACTTATATTTCCCATGAATGCAACAAACTTGGCTAACAATTGATTAATGACCCGTGGTAATCAACGAAAGATAATACTTCTTGTTCTAATAAAACCACCAGTGTTCCCTTTAGATGAGCTAATGGTTACTGTTCACTGTGTTTATATAACCCATTCATACCTTCCATATTTTATCTGATTTCCCAGAGAAGCACAGAGACTTGAAGTTGTAATATTTACTTCTCAACAAAAGAATAGTTGTTTCCTATGTTCCACAAGTCATTTTTTTCCTGTTCCATAACTGATTTAGCCTTTTCATGTGGTATTTCTTTCCTGTTCTACAAGTCATTCTGATTTAGCCTTTTTCATATGGTAATTTTATCTTCAGGAATGTGCAAGAAAGATCTGATCTTTTGTTATTGATGGGTGTTGTTGCAGGATCCCCAGGACAATTGGTGTGGCAATCCCTATGAAAGCAACTTTCTTCATTACGTATGTAATGGTTGATGGATGGGCTGGTGTTGCTGGTGAAATCCTTAGACTGAAGCCACTGATATTCTACCATCTGAAAAACTTCTTCTTGGTGAAGACTGAAAAAGATAGGGAGAAGGCCATGGATCCAGGAAGCATTGGTTTTAACACGGGCGAACCTCAGATACAATTGTATTTTCTGCTAGGCCTCGTCTATGCTGTTGTCACACCTGTTTTCCTCCCTTTTATATTGATTTTCTTTGCCTTCGCATATCTGATATTCCGCCACCAGGTAATCTCTCTCTCTCTCTCTCTCTCTCTTTGTTTGGTTGGAAAATACCCTTGAAGTTCAAACACACAGTGTAAAATGAAGAAATAAGAAAGACCTTTTTTTTTTCAATTTTAGTATCTCTGATATTTTTTGTTACAAATTACATATGGAAGGAAGTATCTATTCAGAAATGTAAGTTGAGAAAAAATGCGTTATCATATACGTGCAATTTTTGTTCTCACTATTGAACGACCAGGCATGATTAATTTGACTTTTCCCATATACTCCGCTGTAACAAATGCACACTGCTGAGACGATTCTCCCATTTTTTTAAACGATGCAGATCATAAACGTATACAACCAAGAGTATGAAAGTGGTGCTGCATTTTGGCCGGATGTACACGGTCGCATAATTGTTGCCCTTATGTTCTCGCAGCTAGTTCTGCTCGGTTTAATGGGCACTAAAGGGATCTTTCAGGCTCCACCCCTCCTTCTCGTGCTCATTGTGTTGACCTTCTTTTTCCATAGGTACTGCAAAGGCCGTTTCGAACCAGCTTTCGTTAGATACCCTCTACAGGTTCGTTGCAATTCCCAATCCATAGATTGAAAGTTTCTATTTTTCATTTAGAAAGCGGCCAAAACTAGTAGTGATGTATATAACATTTTTTAATGTGAAATATAAATCCTTCTTCTCTAACTCCATTTCCTTTTGGATGGTTTATGTAATTAATGACTGCAATAAGAGTCACATATAAAAACATTTTCATTTCAGGAAGCAATGATGAAAGACACCCTGGAACGGGCAAGGGAACCGAACCTGAACCTGAAATCCTATCTCCAGTATGCTTACATTCACCCGGTTTTCAAAGACGAGGAGGATGACGAGGATGAAAGCATCAACGGGAAATTAGATGATGAAAGTGTGATTGTCCCCACAAAAAGACAGTCGAGAAGGAATACACCTTTGCCGAGTAAAGTCAGTGGTGGGTCCTCCCCATCACTTCCGGATATTGTTCCTGAAAACTTTTGAAGTGAGTGATGGATAAGTTTTTCTGTAAGGTGTAGCCCCGTGTGAAGGGTAGTACCACAAAATTAGTGTGCAGGAATGTAAGTATGGGTGGGTTTGAGGTGTATATAGAGTAAGATTTCTATCGAATTCTAAGGTCTGTACATTTCAGCGTGNTGATCTGTTTCTTGTCTAGTTTCTTTGTGGCTACGCGGGGTGTGGGTTTGCTGAAAAAAATATTAGCAGTTTGCTGGAAAAATTATGAAAGAAACTTTTAAGAATGTTAAGGCTGATGTGTTTTTCTTGTAAATTGATCTTGTGTATTCTCAAATTGTTTTGTGCCAAGTTAGGCTATGTAATATGTGTGTTGTTATAATATGTTAATCGTCTTGCCTTCTTTTCCTTAGTTTTTTCCATACATTAACAGGACATTGATGGATAATTGAGAACAAGGTATTATCATATTTGCGTTTGATGAATCTTAAGTGGAAACTGTTTTAGTGATGGATATGGGGATACGTTCTTGGGAGCTTGTGACGGGATATTATTTATATCTATTTCTATACTATTATAAAAGTATTTATATTTTGTAAATAATTGCACGAACTAAAAAATCGTTATTTTTATATAATTTTATCAATAAATTATAATTACAATTAAATATCTCAATAAAATAAGATTCTAAACCAAAATAGGTTTAAATTGATAAACAAAATATTAACTTATGAATAAAGAAAAAATTAATAAAGGAGATGCAATTATTTTAATAAGATTAAATTGCATTAAAATATATTTTTAAATAGTATGTGGAACAAATAAAAATGTAAGTGAAGTACCATCCACAATTTCACAACATATAGTGTTAAGTATAAAGTATTATAATATATATGTTACAATTCTAAATGTATATTATTTTCGTATTACTAATTACATAATTACATGTTATAATAAACAAAGTTGATACAACATAATTATATAAACTTTAAATAAAACAAATAACATGACATATAAAAATACTAAAATGCCTTCTTTCGAATAAATAAAGCATCAAGTAGGACGGACATGATATAACATGAAAGAAAGAAAAAATGTATTTTTCACATGAATTTCTGAACATAATAGCAAATATTAAAATATAAAATATAAATTAATATTATTTATTTATACTTAGATTTAATTGCTAGAATTAAAATATTTGAACACAATAATAAATTAATTAGAAAACTTAATACTGTTAACCAATATCAAAGTTTATTTTATTATACTATGAATCTATAAATTATGCAATACATAGTTTAATTAAAAGGAGACTTTCATTAAAGTAAAGTTTAACAACTATTTTCAAATAGTATTTTTACGAAAAAGTCAAACTTTAAAAGTAACCAAAATTTATAAATCGAAATATAATGATAAAAACTACTTTGTAATAAAACAATGAGTAACGTGTAAAAAAATAAAATGCGAAGACATATTGCCAAATAGATGAATGTTGATTGCTTAAGATGTCTTTTATATTTGATATATTTATAATATTAAAACTATAATTACAACGATTCCTAAAAGATATAAAAGTATAATTTATTGTAAAATTATAAGTAAGCATAATAACAAATAAAATTCAGTTAACTAAAAGTAATTGAATGTAATTATCAAATAATTTATAGAATATGTCAACTTTGAATAGGGATCTTTTTCCTTAACTGCAAAATATCACATTTGATGCATTTGTTTATGTTATGATGAATAATATAAAATATATATTGATATCTTTTGCGGAGTTAATATAAAAATATTAAGTATTTTTTAAAATAAAATAACTAATACAAAAGTATCTTACATTCTATGTTCAAATACACATATTATTTTTTAATTGTCAATATCATAAATTAATTCTTTTGATTTTTTTTAATGACTCTTGAAACATATACTGATATACATGATTACGCCATAAACTGAATATTGAGATTTCTGATGTACAGAAATATAATATAAATAAAATATAAAATGGTATATAATAAGTATTTTTTTACATATTTAGTTATTTGTATTATTTATATTTGTTAATTTTTATATATTTTTTAATGTTGAAAATTTTCCATTTTCTAAACCAGATTCTTGAACTTGAAATTGNATGGTAACAATTAATCATTGCATTTGCAAGATAATCCGCTAATTGACGCCAAACCATAAATTAATATTTTATTTTATATATTTAAATATATTTTATTTGGGTTTTTTGTTAAAAGGAGTTTTATTTCTATTAGATGCTATTTTGTTGAGATATTTAATTATAATTATTAATAATTGAGATAATTTAGAATTTTGCCACTAAAATATATCAAATGGAATTGTAGTCCGTTCATTAATTTTTTAATAAAACAACTCCTTTTAATTTTATAGATTATGTGCAGCTACTATTTATTCATTGAGAACCGCCCTCTTAGGGACATTATTATTGAAGTTGATTTTCGTATATGCTTTATGATGACATGAATATTTAGCTAAAGACTAAGGGAAAAGTAAATTTGAATTTTCGTTTCATGATCTTTTTTATATATTTCCTTTTGATCTTTCCCAACTTTAACACTGTTGTGAGACATGACATCTTTCCCAATTTCAATTGAAAAAAAAAATTACTTGGCCTTCTAAAATGGTAACAGTTAATCATTGCATCTGCAAGAGCATCCGCTAATTGATGACAAACCATAAATTAATATTTTGTTTTATCTATTTAAATATATTTTATTTGGATTTTTTTGTCAAAAATAATTTTGTTTTTATTAGATGCTTTTTGTTGGGATATTTAATTATTTATTATTAATTGAGTTACTTATTATTAAAATATATTAAAGGACATTTAATTTTAGGCCGTTAATTTTTTTTTTTTTTTATATAAAACAACTCCTCCTTTTATTTTTCTAACAATATATAGTTTAGATATCGATATAGATTATGTGCAGCTACTTTTTATTCATTGAGAACCGCCCTCTTATGGACATTATTACTGGAGTTGATTTTCGTATATGCTTTTTTATGAAATGAACATTTAGCTAAATACAAGGGGGAAAAGTAAATTTGAATTTTCATTTGACGATCTTTTTTTCTATTTTGCCTTTTGAATCTTTCCCAACTAGTGTGCATCCCGTGCGATGCACGGACGGGCTTATTATTTAAAACTATTTTAAAATTTTATTTTAAACATAATTATTTACATTTAACATCTCATTATTGCAACAAAATAAATTCAAAAATATAGAAAATTATATATTATTTATTTGAATATAATGAGTGCCTCCAACAAAGCCAATAACATCCAACACATGATATATGATAAAAATAATTACATGAATCGTCATGCTTCTATAAATATATATATATATAATAAATATGAGATATTTAAGATTCGCATTAACATTTGTAATTTGAGTATTTTGAGATGAAAAATGATGTGTACAAAAAATAGGTACCAAGAATCCACATAATATAAGATTCTTTGTAAACTTTAAAAGATTTTGTAGTTAGATAAATATGGACAAAAAAATCATCAATTAGGTTGAACAATCTGAAGTACTAAAAATTAATTTCTGAAAACAACATTCTTTATTAAATAAATATGAGATTTGTAGATAGATAAACATGGATAAAAAAATATTTAACAATTAAGTTGGCATGACTTTTTGGAAAGATTTAAAAAAATTTCAAATCTTTTATTCGTTAAATGAGTGACTGGATTTTTGTAACCTAATTCACACGTTAGACTGAAAAATTTAAGAAAACGATTGATCGATTTTTTTGGGAGCAAGAATTTCAATATTCTTTCTTATTATGTGTCAGATTTACTCATTTAAGGAAATAATTGCCCATATTTTTAAGAATTAAGTTTTACACAACATCTTTCTCAATTTTTTATTTTTTTTTTGAAATTTGAATTCTAATTTTCATTCAGCCGCCATTTAAAAAATCCTAAAAATATTAACTTTGAAAGTTTTAGACGGAAATTTTAATAATATTTCAGGTAAATCACTTTTCATATGATATAATTATAGCTTATCCAGGTATACAGCTTTAAATAAAAGTGATCATCAAGATTTTATAATTTTGTTGTTTTTGGTCAGTTGGTGATTTTGTTACTATCAAATCAACCTGATTTTGTTGACATTTAAGCCATGTGGATGATTAAGTCTTTTGGTTAGCATGATAAATTTTATAATACTTGATAACTACAATATTTGGTAAAAATTACTGTAAGCTTAACATTAATTTGCATTCAAATATAGATTTACTATACGAAGTGGAATAATTATTTTGTGCATCGTATCAATAAATCAAATTTGAAATGAATATAAAATATATCTATGAGAATAATAGTGAAATATGCTATAATCATTTCATGAAATTAGTCAAAATTAGAGAATTACAATTTTTACGTTATTTTAAAATAAAGCTATGAATTTACTTCACATTATAAAATTTCAATTTTTTTACGTTATTGTAAATAAAGCTATTATATTATATTGTAAGTACGATTAATAAACCTTACACAATTTTAGCGTTAGATTAAAAAATAGTGAATTTTTCTAACAAAATTCTACCAAGTTTAATTCAGGGCGCATATTATAAGCTATACAAAGATCAATTTATAGATAGATTTTAAAATATAAAAATAATAAAAATTTATCACACATATCTTTAATTCCCATAAAAATTAGCCGTCCAACATCAAATTTCACTAATTCTAAAGTGATAGAGACAATATATTAGCTAAAAAACAGTGCTACTTTCGTATGGAGAATATTTTTTGTTGGAAAAAAAATATTATTTGCAAAATTGTATGGATAAAAATTACTTATTTATCAGGATAAACATTATTATTTATCACATGCTTATTTTAGCTAACCGTATTATATGAAGAAAATATAATATATGCTTATGATATTCAAATTTCAAAATTCAAATTATTTTTAAAATTTTCATATATAGTAAATAAATTCTAGTATTCTTTTAAAATACATGAATGTTATACATTATAGTATTTAGTACTGTGGGGAGGATTTTTATTTATTAATTATTTCTGGTAAATAATTTGAAATATGAGGTATTTGCACATATCCTTGAAACCAACATATTTTATATTAAATCAAGTGGAACGTCTGCATTTCATGACTTATTTATGGGAAGTTTAAGTTATTTCTTA